CAAGAGGATTTGACCCCCGCCACCGCGTGGACGGCGGGCAGCACGTGGGCAGGCACGGCCCTAAAAGCTTGGTATTTATCCGGAGTACACTTCACATCCGCTCCGTAAAGCTTTGTGGGCTTTGTTTTTTCGGTTGCTTTCATTCCCAAAGTGTGACAGTTGAGGAAGGGGCTGGTACCACAAGGCCTTCCTTTGTCTGCCCTCAGCCGGGGACGGCGCGGGGGGGGGTGGTGGTGTGCGTGTGACAGAGGCGTGTGAAGGGGGGCACCGTCACCGTCCCACAAAGAAAACCGCCATCGCCGCCTTTCCAGGCGCGGAGCCATCGCGATCCCGCCTCCCGYCGTCCTCCCGACACCGCGGCCCTGACCCACCGCCCGCTCCCCGCCGCCATTTACCGCGCCTCCCCGGGGCGCCCGCCTGGCCCGCTCCCGCCGTGCTCCCCCGCCGCGTCCCGCTGCCCACCTCTGGCCTCAGAAGTGCTGCGCCTCTCGGCCCGTGACCCCTCACAGCCCCAGGAACCCCCTGCCCTCCGCTCTCCTGGGGCCGCCGCCGCCGCCACCCTGGGCTCCGCCGCTCAAAATGGCGGCCGCGCTCGGGAACGCGACACCGCACCGCCTTCCCCCTCCCCCGCCCGCGGGCGCGCGCCGGGCCCGACCTGCCGCCGAGCGGGCCCAGACCCCCGCGCCCTCCGCCACCCCTCGCCCGCWGAATCCCCCTCCCGGGCGGGCCCTGCCGCGGCTCGCTCCGCCCGCCGGCCCTATCCGCTCACCGCGAGCYTCTCGCCAACCCCTCGCCGTGCCCCGGCAGCCGCTCGCGCCGGGCAGGACGCGCCTCCTTCCTCACTCCCGACTCGTCCGGTGGGCCCCACTCCTACGCAGCACCCACGGGCAGCAGAGCGTCCGGGCCGCGCGACTATCGCGATACCGCTCCGCGCGCTGCCTCACACCCGCCTGGGCGGTTCCCGCGCACGCGCGACTCGGGGGGCGAGTGGGGAGGGGGCGCTGAAAGGGAGCGACGGCGCATGCGGGGTAGGGGAGGGGGCGTCCCTGTCTCTTTCTTTCACCGCCTCCTTCACTGAGGGGCCGCCCCCGCGCGTGCGCACTGCCCCCTGCGTTACGCGTCTGCCGCCGCTCGTTTTGGCGCCAAGACGGGAGCGCGCGCGGCCTGAGGCGGGGGTGCGGCGCGCGCGTGCCCGGATATCCCCTCACGCCGCCGTCGCCTCACGGCAGCGGCAATGGCCGGGCGTGCTCGGGAGCTTCTGTCCCGCCCAGCCTGTCCTTCTCCCTCGGCGCAGCTTTGCGAAGGAGTGAGGATGAGGAAGGTTGCCCGGTGTGGGTGCACGCAATGGCTGCCCACGTCGTCTCAGCAAACCTAACGAGCCGGGCACGGTCCCGCCTCCCCCAGTGCGGGGCAGATCGGGCCGGCTGCTGTGGTGAAAGGGCCCGCTGAGGCGTTTAGGGGCTGGTGGCGAGTGAAAGGARTGAGAAGGTAGTGTCTTTACAAACAAACTCTGACTCTGGGATGAGATAAGGCTGATATTGGGAGATAGGAAGAAACAATAGGAAGGATTTGCATAGGAATTCCACTGATTGACTTATCTATGACTATGTAAATAAACTACCAGAGCAGAGACACAGAGATATAAATTGAAGGGGGGGGGCAATTTATGATAGAAGGGGGGTTTCATCAGGTGTTTCGGGGAGCCTGTAACTTTCAAGTACCTCAGCCAATGCGGAAAGAAAGAGGGAAYTGCAGCCGGGAAATTGGGATAAAAGGAGGCTGCGTCCTCTATGAATTGGAGAGATCCCATGGGAAATGCCCATGAGCTCTCCCTTTATTCATGAATAAAGTTGCGGGACTCCTCTGTCTCCTTTTTGGACATAAACCTCTGGTGCTTGTGGATTAATTTTCCTAACACGAGGGAGGATATAATATGTGTTTTAATTAAGAAAAAGTCAGTGTAGAGCGCCGGGGGCGCAGAAAGAGTCTCAGTCCGTGTCGGCGCTAGGAAGTGACGGGATGTGGTCTCTTGACTCCGCCTGCCGTCAGGGAAACATTAACTTGGAGTTCTGTCGATTGGGGTGAAACAAGTTAGAAAGTACCTTGCAGAACACAGCCCGCGGCTAAACAAGTGCACACGACAATGCAAATTCCAATTTTTACGGTTGATGCATTTACAAACCGGCCCTTTGCTGGAAATCCTGCGGCAGTTTGTCTGCTTGAAAATGTAAGTYAAGAAAACCTCAGCTGGTCTTTGAGGTACTGCAATGACATTTGGTATTCTGTACCTGGCCTGAGCAGTCAGCAGTGCATTAGGCTTTGCTTTCTTTGCTCGGGAGTTCTGCTYTTAAGACTTGTTTGCTGTGGCTCCAGGATACAGAGAAATTAGCGCAGGGGTACTTTCAAAACGATGACAACCTTTGAATTTTTTGTGAGCTTAAATACTTTATTAAGAAATAGRTTGGGTTTATTTTGAGTGAAGTCCAAAGTAAGGCCTAATTTCTTTAAGAATGAGTCAGAATAAAGATTTTGAAGGATTAATACGGATTCAGAGTGAAATCTGAAAAGTAATGCTGTAAAACAGAATCAGTACTCGGATTAAACTGTGGGATTTGGTTTTGGTGTGTGTTTTCTCCCGTCTTTTCTTTCATTTTTCCTCTTTCTCTGAAAAGAAAGTGAGTATAGATGTGGATATGAGTCTTGTAGCATTAGTGTGTCAGGTTCTGCTTTGGCCAAGTGGTTTTTATTGCTTCAATGTTGCATGGTAGTTTTGGTGCAGTTGACAGTAGTGAGCCTCTTCATCAGGGTGCTGTGAACAATGGGTGCTAATTGTTACTGGATTCTACCAAAAATAATTCTTAGCCTGGATTGGAAATACAGGCCTTGTATTATTTGTATAGYAAYTCTGATGARAAMTGTAAATATGAAAATATATGTAGCATAGCCAATGGCAATAGCTTATACTGGCAACATGAATCCTTTCTAGATGTTCCTATCTAAACCTCATATAACACTGCCTACTTCCCAGGTCAGCTAAAGGTATGACTGGGGACATCTCTCTTCAGAAGTATTTTTGGCCCTATAAAATTAAATACTCTCAAAATTATCTCTGCTTTAAAATTGTGAGTTTCTAATTGCATTTTTATAATAATTTTACTTTATCACACTAAGATATTGAGAGGCAAACTTACTTGCATGATGATTTTGGAACACAGACATTTATTTTTTTTTCTGCAGTTTCTGGAAGTAAAGGCTTTAGTGTCGCAGCTAAACCTGAGGTCCTAATTCAGCGTTTTGTTCTCGGCTGCAAGAAAGTGTGGTGCAGCCAGAAGCAAAACTTCTGTTCTGTGCGTCCTCCAGACTCTCAGCAGATGCTTTACAGAAAAAATCGGGAGAAATGRAGCAATGGCAAACCTAGCCTTTTCTGTGTTTCAGAGGTGCCACAGGATGGCAGTATTTCAATAAAGTTCCATGTTATTAAAAAAGAAAAGTTACTTTTAATAACATTTCTATTGTTCTTTGTTCTGGTTTAGGATCTTTACAGTAACTGACAGTGCTCTTCCTGGGATAAAGGACATGTAACTACTGTCAAACGTTAGAATGTTGTTTATGTACAGAATTCAKCCTGCAAGTACAACTCTAGTGTGCTAATCAGTTATTGTTTTGTGTCTGTAGTATGGGATTATTGGCTGAAAAGGATTAATTATTGAAGGAAGTAATTAAAGTTGAAAGGGCAAAGATTTATCTCTCAGAGGCTGAACCTGATCAGGTCCCTTTAGTACTTTGTTTCATTTGAGTTTCAATATATTAAAGATCAGATTCTCAAAGCTGGCCAGTCAGCATAACTGTGGGGAAAGAGCAGTGGAACATGGGCCATGGAGAATGTTATACAACCCCTGGGGCTTGGGTATCTTGGGATCAATGTTCACTGGCTTAAATCGACAGGCACTTAGTGAGCTCCAGCAGTTTGTTTGGTTTTTTTTTTTGCCCAGTTTATTTCCTCTCTGCTCCTACTGACTTAGCTTATTGTTCCATTTGTTTAAATAGTGGTGTCGAGGGCATAGCCATAAGTACTGACCATCCACATTGGTCCTTGCCAGCACTACAGACCTCTTGCTGGCAAGGATTTTTCAGAGTTRTAAAAAGGAAGTTGTAGTTATTTTTAGATTATGAAATAACTTTTCTGTGTGACTTTAGTAACAACTTAAGGAGATTTGTGTTCCTGGAAAGACTTGAGTTTATTTTTAGGTGATTTTATTTTCCACATAGTCCAAGAATTTGCAAGTGAATAGGARAGATATTAGAAATTGCTGTGTACCACAATTATTATCCCATTTTTATGCTTAAAGTTTTTTTTTAATGTCAGAAAATATTTAGAACTAAAATTGAATCTATGTTTTATTGTAATAGAARATTAAATTACTGTATTTGACAGAAAGTTTGATTCTGCATTTTTTGGCCTACTTTTAATTGGATTTGTTATTTCATCACTAGGACTTGGATGAAGATTTGCACCAAAAAATTGCCACAGAAATGAATCTTTCAGAAACAGCTTTCATCAGAAAACTGAAACCTGGAGATGACTTTACCAAAAGTTAGTGGTTCTTTTTACCTTCCAAAATATCTAACAAAGGAATGGAAAGACAGTGTGGGTACATTTTTATGGAATGGTGCTAATTTGAAAAACAGCAAAACAAAACCTTGAAGTTGTGATATATCTGAAGACTGTTGCATGTGGATTCTTGAAAKTATTTGTGCTCAAATTTATTTTACAATATAAACATATTTATTCATMGTTCAGACCATTTGTTTTAGTGCCTTTTACCATATAAGCAAATTGTATATAGACAAAAATGCTAAAAATTCTATGCAGRCATCTTTCAGTTAATATTTCCCTTATTACTAATGGCATCCTGGATAATTCCTTGTACAAGCAGAAGAACAGAGATGGAACATGCTCATTCCATTCATGTTGGGAGGCCATATGTAGATGTTGAGAGAGGAACTGGGGAGACACTGGGCAAGATAGAAAACATCAGACAAATGCAGGGTCCATTCAGACTCACTCTGTGGATTAGTTTTCAGCTGAATCAGTTTGCTGAATCTGCTCACTTGGCAGCTCTGTGGTGGCTTGAACCAAGGGGCTGGAACTCCGCTAGTACAGACTTAGATTCCATATTTATTTATAATTTCTGTTGTTTGATGGATTGTTCAGGAGTAGGATTTTGTACAGTCTCTGTAATTAAAAATATTAAGGATAGTAGTAACCATAATTGCTTCTGTTATTAATAAATTGGAATTTGTTTTAGGGTTAGACTAATAGCTTGGAGCAAGAAGTGATAATACATTCCATTTTTCATGTTAACACTTTGCCAATATGTTTAACACACTTATTTTCAAGTCATCCATATCTGACAGAATGCCAAATGCCAGCTTCTTTATTATTAAAGTGCTTTTAATACTAATGTACTGGTTTGTGACCTCAGACCCACACAGCTGCCCAAGAGGTGCACAGTTCTTTCAAAGGAATTTAGTCACTGAGCTACACCTGAGACTGTGTGTATTGAGGGGTGGTGGGAGTGAACCAGGAACATCAGAATGTCATTTGTCATCTGCTTCTGGAAACTGATTGGTGTAGTGAGGGCTCCTGGACACAGTGAATGTTTCTGCAGGCGTTCATGACCACTACATTTCATCTAATCTTAATTAAAGAAAAAAACCAAACCAATCAACTATGTCATTTTAGGGACACATGAATTTGTGAGAGTACTAAATGTCCCSTCAGTCTGAGGACAGCTGTATGTCTCAAGTGCCTGTGTAGGTGTTCCAGGTCACAGAGCTGTCTGTCTCCAATCAGGCATGGCATGGCTGGCTTCGTGTCCTCCTGCATCCAGCCTCAGCTTCCACTTGGAGCAGTGCATTAATGGCACTGAGCAGGCTCACAGCTGGGGTCTGGGCCAGCTCTCACTCACAGCTCTTCACTGCTGTGGCCATTAGTTTCCACCACAAGGTTTTATTGGGGTCCTATTAGTTTTCATTGGAGGGAGGACTGACTTTAATGCACTAATTTTTCACAGCGGCAATGACAAGAATTCGTTGTATTAAAACAAACAAAAAAATTTGTTACTTTTCCACTTTTAGTTGTGTTTTTATGGTMATTTTTCACTTAAAATGCAAGTGGAAAAGTTAAAGGATACCAAGTATTATACATCTGTGTTTCAATTTTTTTTAAACAACAARTAGAAATATGATTTCTAGTGAAAAGAAGGCTTAGTAGACATTAGATACTTTTACCAGACTTGACTGGTGGTTTAAGAAAACTAATTCATAACTGGGCTAGCTCTGGTACAGGTTCCATTATACTAACAAAGCCATCTATAATAYCTAAATGGTAACCCAGCCTGCAGGTGTATAGATAATCCTGACTATGCCTTCCAGGATTTCATAATACACAAGGGCATGGAGGCTGTATCTTCTAAATAAGACCAATTTAGGAAAAAAAAAAATCTGTGCAGCATGCGAAGGTTGTTTACCCAATTYAAAAGGAATAGCTGTTCAGAAAAATCTGCAAAATGGGTACCCTAGAAGAGTGTTTAGGATCAAAACTGATTGTAACATGCATTTTTATTAACTGAAACATCATAATTTTATATATATTGAGATAAAATGAAGAATAGACATCTTCCACTTAATAACACTAAATTAAACTTTATTTTWTCAAGGTTCCTGCTTTGGGCTCAGATGGTTCACCCCAGCCAATGAAGTTCCTCTCTGTGGTCATGCTACTCTTGCGTCAGCTGCTGTGTTATTTCATGTACAAAGTATGTTTACAAATGATGCATTTTTAGAACATTTACTCCTGATTAACATCTCTATGTAATGCAACAAAGGCAATTAAACATTCAGAACATTTGTAGAGCACAAATGGAGATACCCTGGAAATTGTCTTTTACAACTGCYCTGTAATTACAAGGTTGTAGTCTGATGCCTGCCCTTTGATTTCAATGCCCTATTATTACTCTTGTTTAAGAAAACTAATTTTGCTAAATATGCAAATGTCACCTGGGAGAGGTACAGTAGGATTTGATGAATAGGGAATATTGCTCTTTCTGTTAGAAGGACATTCCCATTCATTCTAGTCATGTGCAGGAAAGATGCCCTGACAATTGCTGTGTTCATCAGCAGATTTATTGAGTTAGTTGGGATTTTAACTAAGATTTTAAGTCTGCTCAGAATGCAGACTTACTCTAGATGTATTKGAGCTGCATAACTAGCTTTTTCTGAATATAGTGAGCTACTCCTAGAGCTATAATGATTTAGACTAMAATTCTTATGTTTGATAATGTTGCAATGTTCTCTTTCTAGAAAATACAAACTCAGTTCTCACATTTATGACATTGAGTGGGGAGTTAAAGGCCAGACAAGTGAAAGATCATATTGTCCTGGACTTGCCACTTTACACAGCCTACCCCCAGGTCAGTCAAAATTTTATTCATGATAGTCTTTCAAGGAAAGTATGTGTTTGTATGTGCATGTAAGTATATGCGTTTATCTATAGTTGCATAGATACATGCATATATATTCCATTTTTTTACAGTGTGTTTTTTTTTCTTCAGGAACTTAAGGAAGTGGAAGAATTAATAAAGGTAAAAAAAGAATTTATCAATTGTCTTAGAAAAAAATTTATAATTGCTTTTCTTATTTTTATCTGTTAAAATGGCTAAAAAATGGTGATCGAGCACTGCTTGATATAGCCCTTAATCTGAAACACCAAATTTCAAAGGTGTAATGACTCAGTAGGTCAGGGTATGTAATTCTTCAAAATGCTGCAGCTGAACCTGTATCTCCTGTTACCACTGACTGAAGTTTCAGTGGCATTTTCAGCCTTTTGTGTGCATGTGAGGGCAGTCTAATGTCCTTGCCCTCTTCGAGGTCCTGGACTTCTTTCCAAGCTGATGTATATGGAACTCTTAGCACCCCCCCACCCCCCCATATCCATTCATGCCCTTAGTGGATTTGCTTTTTTTGYTTCCATGTGCTTGAGGGTTGCTTGGAAGACCTTGTATAAGCCCTCTTCTATCAGGGTATGTGCTCTACAGAAATGTTAAGGAAATAATATTTAATATTCAAGTGATAATGTTTTTCTCTGTCTCCTTTACATTTTYCACCAGGCAGCTGTTGGTGACATGACTGTTCAAGATGTCCGTTATTCTCCTGACACAAAGAAACTCTTAGTCCGCCTCAGTGATACTTATGAAAGGTATCTTGCACTTCTTTAGTTTTTTAAATCAAGAATGCAGAAATTGAGTTGGTTTGTTTAATCTCTATTCCTTACATATTACGCTCTTTTATCTAGTTTTAAATCAGGTAGAGATTAAAAACCTCTGATGTAAAGTTCTGTGTTAAATGGTTATTCTCTTTTAATGCTAGTTTATTGAAGCTGCAAAGCTGAATAAGATCAATCTGAAATCTGATTTCAAGAGAAGGAGGTGTACAAAACAGTTTTGACAATGGTGTATTTCTCCCATCCATCTGAGTCGAAAAGTGATGCAGTAACCTAGCAGGAAGTTAGGAATCCTGCTTCAGTTCAGGGCACGTTGACTGAATGCCAGGGATTCTTACTTCCACTGGACTCTAATCTGCTTACATTTGCTTAACAGCACCATAAGTAGCTTTATAGAAGAAATTCCAATTTAAATTATTCCAAAGCATTTGTTAATCTCATCTGAATTTCRTTGTTAATTCAACATGGTTTATGTATATATGCTGCCAAAACACAACTTCTTTAATCAAGCCAAATTACTATTATTACAAACTTGATTTTTTTTGTCTAAATAAGGGTTAAAGTCTGGGATAGTGGGGAGATAGAAATATCCTCAGCTGAGTACTTATTATTTTCACTCTTTCAGACTATTTTTAGGGAGGCATCAAGACAGTTGTAGACTGCTTTAGAATGCCATGAAGACCTGAATGATGTTAGATATTTGCCTGCTCTGAAAGGAGGTGGATCATTTTGTACATTGTGTGTGAGGCAGTAATTCTTTCAATGATTAAAATGTTGAAACAAAGTGTGATTTTTATTTTGGTGGCTAACATTTCAGGATGCTTGTTTTCAGAAATAAATAGGATATGCATGGCTTGAGCTTTTGTCTATACTCACTTAGAGTGTATTAGATTCAGGGTGATTTTCTGCCAAATATCATTGGGAGGACAATGCTAGGAATCTTGCCTCCTCTAGTATTTTAGTATTGTTTTTGAATTGTAGAGAAAATGGTGCTATAGTTTGATTTTTCTTTTCAATACTTACATTCATGGAAAATGAAGAATATGGGCTATTAAAATTTAATAATTATATTCAAGGTCTGTGTTGGAACAAATGAAAGTGARTGCACAACACTTTTTGTCAGCTGAAAAGACAGGAAAAGTGAAAGGACTCATACTCACTGTTAAGGGAAATTCCAGTGGAAAAGGCCATGATTTTTACTCCAGATAYTTTGCACCTTGGTATGGAGTTCTGGAAGACCCTGTTACAGGTAGGTGTTTGTATGATAAGCGACTCATACTATTGTTTCAGTTCGATTAAAAGGTTCTTACTAAAATTCATTAATCTGTTTTTGTACTTTGGAGTATCTTATCAATTACTGGATTGTATGGATAGCTGGAGTTCTCATTAAACTAAAAACTTTAATGACTGAGGCCAGCTCATTCAGAAAATATCAAATCAGCTTCTTGCTGTCATTAGGCCAGATATTCTTGCGTCTTTTTCAGATCTTTTCCCTCAAGTATTCGTATTAGAGAAAAGTGAGGCTAGTTCAGTATTGGATGAGTATTGCAGTGGAAGTTTATATCCACTTCTACTTCTGTTCTTTTTATTGTGACGGTTTGGATTTTTGTTTGGGTTGTTTTTTTCCTGTTTTTTTCAGCTGAGATCTTTATTRTTGCTCTTCCCAGGCCTGTGAGAACTCAGCTAGCTGTATACTTAGGGCAGCAAGATTTGTTACTGTCTTACTGATGTTGCTCTCAGTGGCTGTGATGGTGATTGCTGCAGGGTGATGTTCTTTGCGTAGCTACCATTTAATCACTGGTTAATTATTAGTCAGCTGAGAGTTATGGCCAATGATGAATGCCCTCACCTAAGCAAGATTTCCATTGAAGCTAGAGGATCTGGAAGTAATACTGCTTTACCRTAAATAATTGAAATGATAAAGTTTTAATTCTCTCTGCTGGGCAAACTCTTGTGGTTTTTTCTATCCTAAGCACACGTGGCACTTGATTAATGATATTTACATTTTGACTATGATTACTCTGCAAAGTTGTGATTATAATTTAATTCTGTACTTTGTTTTCCAATTCCTTTTAAGGATCTGCCCATGCTGTTTTAAGCAGCTACTGGTCAGAGCAGCTGGGGAAGACAGAAATGCTTGGTAAGATAAACTGTTTTATTGCAAATCTGTCCATTTAGGTAAATCTACTCACTAGTAAAGAAGATGTTGTATTGCTACTGCAATCCAAACTGTAGCACTAACACCCTATTCATTCATCAAGCGGAAAAGATTATGTAATATTTTGTGTGTAAGGTAATCTTTGAGAAATTGCTTTGTTTCCTATCCACCACCGTGACACATCATGCCCCAAGGAGTTTGAAGTGTTGGCTTCATAACTCTACGCAGTTAGTTTTTGATCTTGGCTTTTGGATTTTAGTTCTCATGACCTTTCATCATAACTGAAGCTTGGCGGAGCTCAGGTGATGTTGTTTATATGTTTTGATTCAATCAATGAGATACTTTTATTAGATCATATCTTTGTTGTTAAGCAAGCAACTAAAGAACATGGTGGAAAAAAGCCCCAGGGGAAACTGTTAATATATGACAATACTAGATGAGGTGTTGGGTGACTCCTTGTTTCTCATGTTTCTACTGCTTTGCAAGAGAACAGAAGAACAAGAGAAGCAATACAAAATACCCTCATTTCCTACCTGGTTCCCCAAGAGGGGACAGGGGGCAATTCTGCACACAAGCCTTTGGTCCCATTTGGTTTAGAACAGAGGTTGGATACTTGATCTAATAAGGTTCTTTGTCCATGGAAGTGAACACTTTTCCAAACAAACAKCTACCCTGGATATAAGCCTTGCTGTATTTTGTCCGATGAATCTCGAAATGGATTTTCTTGAGGGTGCTAAGTCTTTAAAGAATCCACAATGAACAAGGCCTTCTCCATCATGGACTGAAGGAAAGGTTTAACRTTCTGTCCCAAAGATCTTGTCTTTACATTTACACCACACAATATCTGTGTTAGCTTAAATAATTTTGGGGGGGGAGCAGGAATCTCAAAAGTTTTTTTCTGAAGATGAGAAACTGCCTTTGGTAATGTGTCCTTACAGACTGACTGTTTCTCAGAAAATTTTGACATTTTTGGATTYTAATGTACAGTTTGATCCCTCCATGCCATCTCTAGCCACTGGTTCTTTAAGTACTCAAACAGATCAGAATTCTGTCTGAACTTACAGTTGACATTTTCTACCTGTTTTGCCTTTTCATGTATTTTCTATATACTGTCCTATTTGTCCTTTTAGAGAAACTATCTCAGGCAGCAAAGGCATTGGTGCTGTAATCAGCTTCCCTGATGTGTTTAGCACAAAACCAGTCCTAGCTGTCCATAAGATAGGTTTGTGTTGTTGGTTTTGTTTCTTTCTTTTCCTATGCCATGCATATATGTCCTCAGACTTCTGTGGTAGAAATCATACAAAATTGTTTTAAATAGGCTAAATTAATGTTTATGAGAAAGAATTTTTCCTTGCATGTGTCTGAGAGGTATCAGGTACTACTGGGCAAATTCTGTTACTAAAGAGATTATTTGGAAAAGATAGTTGGTATTCAAGGACATTCCATATCCCCAAATATTAATAAATAAAGCACCTTTGGACTTTTTAGAAACCTCTGTGGTAGCTTCTGTAATATCCGATACTTTTWTTGCAAGAATAAAAGAAGAATTTCTTCCATAAAATGAAGGATCTGTTAGTTCCCAAATAGATTATGTATAAAATAATATAAAAGTGAGGAACACTGAATCTATTGTCAGATCTCTCTGGCTATTGAGCCCTGTAGGAGGAGGTCAGCTGCAGCTCTGCTGAAGCATCAGACTTAATTTCCTGTGTTTGGGTTCTCTTCCTACTTTTTTTAGACTAATTGTCAAACAACAGAGGATTTTCCAGTACTTTTACAAGGTGAAATACTTTATGGTCTTTTTTGAAGCTGGGTACATGTCCTTGACTTTAAGCTGCGRGTTCAATCAGTATCAGTCCTTGCCTTTCATTTGAGAAGTCTCTGCTGTGTATAAAAATTACCATCTCTCCTGTGAGACATACTGACTCTCATGGTGGCTAATGAATGCAGGCTATAACAACTGCGTATCCAGCCCTTCACATTGTTTTCACAGTTTGAAGGTAGCATTTATAAACACACATAAGGAATTCCATATAACCAAACAAATTAGAGAGGACTTCCCAAATTATTGTGATGAGAAGGGKTTTATCCAGGACAATTTTTAATCTCAAGTTAAGGTACAGGAATCTTGCTATACCTGTTTATTTCAGACAACTGTAGTAAATTGTGGGCAAATTTGTTTCTTGTTGCTGCATTTAACTTCTCTGATTCCTTTCAGTACAGAACAGGTTTATAGCATTTATGGGTTGTTTTTTGGAGGGCAGAAAATAAACAAAAAAACCCCACCAATAATAACTAGAACAGCAAAATACAAAAAAAGCCAGAAGAAGTTGCTGCTTTAAGGTACAATAAATCTACCTGTGTTTAAGTTTTTATTTATTTGAATTCTCATGAARTCAAGAGTTTTAATTGCAGCTTTCCTAATTTCCAAATAATCTCAACATATAGATTGACAACATCAAGTTTATGCACAAGTGTAATATTTCTCCCAAGAAAGAGTGTTCCCTCCATCAGGTACCAGATTTTCCACCTTTTTTCGTAAAATTAAAAAAAAAAGTTTTGGACATCTTAACTTCACTTTAGTTAAGGAACAAGTGCTTATTTCATCATTCCTCTATAGGGTTTAGAAATTCAAGCAAAATATTAGTGATTTCTTAAAATAAATATTATTACAAGAGTGTCACTTCTTCCTGAGTTGRTGTCATTCTGATGACATGAAGAAAATCTGTCAGCAGTGGTCATTGAGCTACATCTAGGCTGGTAAGAGGCTCCAAAACAAGAGCATAATGTCAGTACAAGGCCACCAGCTGATGGGTGAATGCCTGGTGTGTCATACTGTGATATCAGCACACTCAATCTCACAGGCCTTTTGGCTGCTCCTGAACTTTCTTCTGTGTCAGGTTAATCCCAGCAGAGTCCAGAGCACTGTGAGTTCAGCTGCTACATGTTGTTTCTACAATTCTACAATTGCTATTTTTTTATAGTAAATATGTATAAAATCTACATGTATTATGAAGTATTCCTAATAAATACAGACATGGAATAGGCATGCAACAACTTTGTGATCTAAAAAGAGAGTGCACATCAGAGATGCCTGAATGCCTGCAGAGGCACTGCAGTTAAATTAAATGCTCGAGTTATTGAAATGTTCCATGCAGGGCTGTTCACTCTTAGACATAGTGTGGAGTATCAGTGCTTTTGTGTGAGAGAAGGAATAGATCATATTTTTCTATGAGCTTGGCTAAAAAATTCCTTTTGAGGGTTGTTTTTTGTTTTTCTTCTGCKTTGGAAGTTTCTKTAAAAATAAAATAAAATAAACCAATATCAAAACAATCTCAGCAATCCTGACATGAAAGAGCCAGTACTGTTCGAGTGTTTGAAGAAGAAGAAACCATACTCAACCAACCTTTGAAGAGTTGAAATWATTAATCTCTTTTATTTAAATCTGCTGTCATGTTGGAGTGGAAGAGCTTAGCTGTGTCTCCACACCTGACAACAACTGATCAATTTTAGCATGGTCTGGATCTCTTAAAAGTCTGTAATRTTCAGCTGAAACATTACTCTGTTCATAGGTGGTGTTCTGACAGGTTAAAAACAGTAACATGTGGTTCTATAAATGGAAAAGAACAGAAAGTATCAATCTCAATCTCTAAATAGCTCCTATTTCCACTCTTTTGGAGTGCTTGCTTTACCTGGGAATCTAATATCCTGATCAAAGAAGAGCTTTCTTATCAGCAGTGGCTGAGAAATAGTTTTGAAGCATACAGCATATATGCCATCAGAGAGCCTGTGTTCTGTTGAGATATGAACACAATCTCTATCCAGTTRACAAATTGTGAATTTGAGAGGAAAAATGTGCCCTTTAGCTTTGGGCAGCTTCTGGAACAGTTGGAARTTCATTGAGTTAGGAGACTGAACATTAATGCCTCTTTATCCATTTATAGCGTTCCACAAAAGSAAAACTGCTTAAAACTCACACCTTTTCTAAATACCATCTGTACCAGACCATTTTCTGGGCAAATCATTGTGCAGCTAAAATGAGTGCTGAAACAAGTTAGAGACTCCACATGCTAAGTGAACATTATCATCCCACCTGTGTACAACTCAACAGCTCAGGWAAAAGCTTAGTTCTCTAATTAATTACAAGCAGAAGTCTGGTCCTACTTCAAATTTATCCAGTTGTATTAAATGATTCTTAAGGATTCTATAAATCAGTATAAGAATTTGGTGTCAGTTTGTGACAGCTCAAACAGCCTCCACATTTCTTTGTAGACCTTTGCCACTTCCCTTTGTGAGCTTATTCACCCTCTAGCCAGGCACATTGTTTGAATGTAGTAGCACTTTGGATGTTCAGGACCAGTAAAATGGTGTTCATTCTCATGAAAAGAATGCTTGCTGTTCTTCCTTCTTCCCTCCAAAAACTGCATCCCATGAAGGGAGAATTCAAGACTTCTTAGRTACACAGAAGAAACTTGATTTGCTAGAACAAAGCAAACTATTCTTCACTGCTTGTATTCAGTTTTGTCAGACTCAATAGGCAAGCTGGAAATACACCCTCAGCAGACCTTCATCCCTAAAGGYATTTCATCCAGGGTGTCCCTGGTCCACTGTTTGCCCTGGTGCTGCGTGCTTTCTGGAGCCAGAGGCCTTATTTCCTGGAGKTTTCATGGATTTTTAAATAATTTGTGACACACGCTGTTTTTTTAACTGTGGGTTCTTGTTTCTGTTTAGCTTTTCAATGTTCGCGCCGTGGAGGAGAGTTGAAGATTTCTGTGCGCAATGACGGAAGAGTTGATGTTGCGGGGCAAACTGCTGTTGTATTAAAAGGAAACCTGACTGTCTRAAGGAACTGACACTAATCTCCCTCTCACTGATCACTAATCTTCATGTTAGTCTGATTATGCTGAATTTATCTCTGCTCTAGGCAGTGAATCACTACTGCTCTCTAAAGTCTTTGATTACTCACTCTCCATTTTAAAATAYTGCTTGAAATTACTCACTTCTGATCTTCAAGATCCTTGCTATTCTTCATAGTCATCTTGCTAYTTCCTATGTACACTGATCTATGAAAATGTTGGAGGACAGCTTTCTTGTTTTTCTGCTTTTAAGTGGTTCCTCCCTTCATCTCCAAATTCCATGTTAGAAGCACTTACTGCTTTCTGGATTAAACTGTAAACATCTGTTTGATAAAATAATCAAACTTCTCCCATGCTGCTAATTTTTAATGAAAGTTGAATTCATTAAAAAAAAACAAACCTTTCTCTGCTATATATTGAAATGACACTCATGTTCATTAACTTACTTGAATTAAAATATGAAAACATGTAAGTGGTTTAGAAATGTGCCTTTTGGTTCTCTTTTATGAACAATGTTTTTCAAAGTTGAATGGTATTGCCTTTGATCATAGCACTGCTGCTTATTCAATACTTTTAATTAAAGGTTTAGTAGAAAGATTTGACAGATGACRTTGTGATGCACATAAAGCTGATTAAAATCTGAAAGGAAACTTCATTATTTCATTGTAATGTCAGTCACTTTTCAAAATCTGAAGATTTTCTCCTAAACTAAAAGTTTCTTCTGTAAWCTTCATCAAGTGTACTGCTTCAGATTTTGTTGCCCTGATGTAGTCTTTCACAGTATTTATTAGGAATATGGAACTTTCAGTTACTCTACCTATAACTGTTTTCCTTTTCAAACCCCCTCTGTCCTAAGCTTTGCTTTAGTTTTTTCTCTGTGCAGTATTTCAGAGTGAAGTGTTTTGAATTCAAAAGACACACTATGGGAACAGCTGGATATCATCCCTTCATAAATCATGAGGAACATAGTTGTGCTAAGTTCCCYTTTTTCCTTTTATTTTGAATTTTATCAGAACTTTTTACTTCCATCTTCCTGAAGTCCACGTAACTGGACTAGAAACAGTGTGAGAATCTTAGGGTTCATTTAAGTAAAAAGTTCTCCTGCAGCTACACGGAACTTACCAAAAATGTGGTTTAAATGCACTACTCAGCTCAGGGACTAGGGGGGCAGCAAAAGGAATCTCCAAATGGCAATGCATGCTCTTCCCCTGTATTCAGTCTTGCTGAAGTTCATGGAGCTGAAATATGATTTATAAACATGGGCTCGTGATCAGGTGTGAGCCACAGCCATGGAGGCAGCTCAGCAGCATGGCAGCTTTAGCCTTGGCCTCCTCACAGCTTGGATTGTTCCCTTTGTGGCAGGGACCTGCATCTTCTGGAGCAGCAGTGCTGCAAGCTTGTGGTGCTGCATTTTGTTCTTCTTGCTGGCTTAGGCAGACTGAATCTGGCCCAYAATCAGAGATGCTTTGGGATAAAAGCCTTCCCTAACAATACAGATGAACTAAAGAATCAGTTATTGTTCACCCATCCACTTTTAACAAATAGACAGTACAGTTTCGTGTTTTTTTTTTTTTTTTTACTCAAGAGGGCTAATAAATAACAAGGCCCATGCATTTTAAAGAGACTTGTTAGCTAAATTTCCTGACCAAACTAATATCTTTGCTGCTTAAAGCATTTTTTTTTTGTAGTTTACTACTACTCTGTCTCTCTTTTCAGGATAGAAAAATCACCAGAGCTCAGGTGGGAGGCTATTCAGTAATGTGTTTGTAATCAACATATTAGTTAATCAGCCATGATTTATTAATGATGAATTAATTATACCTGATTGTGCAGTTCTGCTGCCTAAATGGAGCTTTAAAGGAGTTATTTTATTAATCATCATTGTCTAATTGCAGACACTTACAGAAAGATTGCTAATTAAACATGCAACCATATGCAAAACAAGTAAGGCTGCTGAGAGTGGCAAGAAAAAGCTCTTATTTTCTGAGGAGCAACTTTTTTTCTCATGAAATATTGTGTAGCTTACCTGGTGATCCTGATTATTCATTAAGACTTATTTTAATACATTGCACATTTTCCGTTAACCGTAAAGGAAATCAGTTGTTGTGACAAATTCTGTCTGTCTTTCCCTGTACAAAAAATATTGTGCAAACTTAAAGTAAGATTATTTAGAATTTTTGTGGCCTTGTTTCACATCTTTATGCAGAGGATTTGTTCACTGTTTCTGGTGCAGAGGATTTGCAGAACTGTTTTGTGCCGCTCCCTTAATTAAGACTGGTRGCATAGAGATGTGTTGAACCAAGAGCAAATTACATGAAGGGAAATACAATTCCAAAAATTCCTGTGCACTTGACTGTTATTTGTTGTGAGAGTGTCCAACACAAGTGACAGGCCACTGTAAGGTTGGAGTAAATCCATGGCTCCATCCAACAGCCCAGACATGAACATTTAAATGCACATTTGCTTTTTCTGCTGCTTTGGTGTGTGTCTCTGCAGAGGCACAGCTGATGTAGGGGCCAGGAGGAAAGCATGGGGAGGGAGGCAAAACAAGAAACATTAGTGAGCAACAGAAACCATACAAACTTATTGCTGTGCAAATGAATGTAGAGCTAAAAGGAATAAAAATAAAATGGGAAGCTATTTTTTTCATTCAAGAAGCCATTTAACAGATTTGCTTAAAGGATTCATGAAAGTACTTGGCATTTCTTTTGCATTATTTAGATGAGAATAGACAGAAAATGTACATTAAAAGTTGTTAAATTTGGAAAATTTTGCTAGAAGAAGCAATGAAAGACTTCATGAATGTGCACACAGCAAGAGGTCATAGAAAGGAGCCATGTGTTCCATAAGGGATGGGAAGGGAAATTAGCAACAGATGAGGCAGTTATTTCTGGGAAAGGAAAGATTTCTTTGTCTCAGTATTCATCAGAGTGACAGGGAAGCACGCCGGGAACAGAGGGAACCTTCCCAGAAGTAAAAAAAAAACAACAAAACAACCCTAAATTAAAATAAAGGGCGATGCTTGGTCAGGTAAAAATTAAATTAGTTCAATTAAAAACTGAAAAATCTGCCAATTAAGCACATGTGATTCTCACATCTATTTTTTTTTCCCCAGAGGAGTAAGTCAGTCTTGAAATTAATTAAGACACTTAAACAAAAACACMGAACAAGGGATTTTTCTCAATTGCTGAGTCACTGTCCTTTTATTTACTCAAGTTTTCTGCAAACCATAAATAAAAATTTCCAGAGAACAGGAAAGTGAAAGAACAAAACTCAATATATGACCAGATAGTCAATAGTGTGCATGGGTTTTTCTCCAGGAAGTCGGTTTTAGACTAAGACATTCAGATTTAATGTCTAAAGYGGAATGTGAAATATAAACATTTCTAACTCTGTTGGTTTCTTTAGTGAGAGRTGCACTTTGCCTTCGGTTTTGTTTCAGTGATTGGCAAAGAAGGATATTCCTTGGGTTTTAATGCTGTGATTCATATAAGCCCAAGTTTTAYTCACTTTGCAGTGTTCTGGGACTTTTTTTGATGATACACCCAAACCAAGAAACAACTTTCATGTATGTCATTTTTGTCCTGTTAAGAGTTACAGAGTAGGTAAAATACATGAGGCAAACCCAAGGGAAATTGTCAAGAATATTTCTAGAATTGTGACAAGGCAGAAGGTTTAAGGAGAAGGAGGTTTGTGAGGAGCAGGAGGTGCAATGCCTATGTAGAGACTGGAGAACATGAACGCTGTTAAAACCCTTAAGGGAACGCTGTCCCTGTTTGCCACCAGTTGAAGTCAATGATGCAAAGACAGGTTGGATGATCTGGGAGTAAGGCTGAGAGATCTTAGGCCAGGGAAGAGATAATGTAGATTGTAATAGCACTGGAGCAGGGTGTGAGGTGCAGYAAAACCAGGAACCCGAGTTCAAATTCGAATATATTCTCTACTGACCTTTTGCTGTGCTTTGGATCCAAACCAAAGATGACTGACCAGAATGTCCATCCCACCAAGCTCAGCTCAGGTGGGAAATTCCAGCTGGGATTCTTGAATTTTTTTTCTGTTTCAGAAAGCTTCCTTTCTCCATAATTATTTATGGCTGTAAGCAGAAATAAATTACAATCTTAATGACTACAATAATATCAGTCACCCATATTCGGATAGAAATGGCTCCTTCCTGAAGAATATAATTCTATTTTATAAACAAAYTTTGGGGTTTTATTATGTTTATGTATAGCAGCTTTCTGAAGATATCTGATTGACTTCCATATTTTACATCACAGCCTCTTTCCTTAACTGTACTTTTAAGGATTATGGGCAATAAAACTTTCAGAAGCCTTTCAGCAGTTAGTTAATAGCAAATATKAATAAAGTACCCTCTTAATAACAAACTGCAGGCACTTTCTCKATAAAGTTACAATTTCAGCAGAAAAAAAAGTAGATTAAAAGGAAACACCTGCTCCTGTAAATTACTATGCTGCAGGTACCAACCCAGGAGACTCTGCAGATGGTTCTGTATTTGCAAATCTGACCTCACCACCCCTTCATCAATCTCTCACTGATTGATTCTCTCCAAAGCAGAACACACCATATCCCAAGGTACTAGAAGATACCTTTGAATTAAATTAGTTCCAGACAGAACACCACTTAATTGGTATTTCTGTTCATTTTGAACGTCCTTAACAAAGGATTCTATTGTCTTATCAAGCACTACTACTGCCTGAAGGTACAGTCAGTTCCAGGAAGACCTCCAAAGGGAATTGTTCTTCAGGAGGTTCAATTTTTGCTACTTTCCCTGCTGGCTGGGAGTGTGGATTAAGTTCATCTATGCCCTAGAATTTTGTGATGAACAAAAAGAAAGTGTGATCTTGATCCTTAAAACAGTACAATATGAATTCATCACTTTTGTTAGCCTTTCCTGGCAGCTGAGGAAAAGTAGGAGATATGATAAGTTCTGTGTTTGTTCATTGTTTTCCTTCCTCAATTGTTTCCAGGCATCTTATTCTTTTAGTGAGACTCAGACTTACCGTGCCAGTCTTTATTTGACTAGGAGAAATTTCCTTGCATGCTTCTTCCAATTGGACCTATGCAAAGGTCCTGTGCAATATATTGAGACCTTTTTGCTTCGGGGGAGAAAATATTAAAGCYGTTCCTGAAAAAGGGAAAAACCCAGCCTGCTGAAAAAAGTAGAGACAAGCTCGTGTTCCCTTGCCACTCATACATGTTCCTATTTTGTCATCCGTATTCCTCACAAGTTTTCCTAGTCTTTGGCTCTAAAAGCATCTCTAATTCTTTAAACTGATAGCACCTTTATTCAAGGCATGTTTTTCAGTCAGTCTGAGTTACACAAATATAATTATTAGCATGCTCAGACCTTTTTTTTTTTTTTGAAATTGTAGGAAAAGAGAAGTAATACTTATTTTTTACTTCACAATTATATGTGAATAAGGCTAGTTGCAACAAAAGTWGAGCTGCCTTCCTGCATTTTTTTCAGGAATTAAAGTCCATAAGAAGTTGATTACATGAAGCATGATGTATGCAATTAAATAAGGATGATGGTGTAATTTGTTTTGTGTGGCAACTTGTATAACAGAAGTGGCTGAAAATAGGTCTGTAAAAAAATTATTAAAACTTTTAATTTGAAATTTCCACTATGATAATAATTAAGTCTGAAAAAACTTTCCCATCC